TTCCTGGATTACGAGTTCGTTTGATTCAGTCGTTTGATCGATTCTGTTCGAAATATTTGCGCGGAAAGGTATTCCCACGAAAAATGTGAACATTCTCCTTGCGATATACTCGAACACTACAGGCCGCGTCAGGGTCTACGGTGGGCTATCGGATAACTTTCCGACCACAAGTAGCGTTCGTCCCGGTTGTCCGATTTGCCAATTTTTCTTCGCTTTCGTCGTGGATTCTTTCATGGAGTGTTCCCTTGCGGAATCTCATGATGTAGGCACTGAAATGTTGCCTGGTGAACGGTTAGTTGACCTAGATTATGCGGACGATATCTTCTTGCTTTTCGACCATGTTGCGGAGGCACAATCAACCCGGAATAGCTTCTCTAGAGTGGTCCCATTATTTGGTGGGCGAATCGCACCTTCAAAGTGCAAAGTGTTGCTGCATGACCAACAGCAATTTGATGACCCCTTCACGATTGCTAACAAAGAACTAGAGGTGGTTGATCATTTCACCTATCTTGGCAGATGCATCAGCATCGATGGGTGCATCGAAACTGACGTCAGCTCACGCATTGTAAACGCCAGAGCTGCCTTATTGAACCTGCGGCATCCTTGAAAACAGAAGGAAGTTGCCTTCCGTCTGAATGGCTGCGTATACAAAGCCACAATGAGGGCCGTTCTGTTCTATGGTAGTGAGACTGGGCCTACTTAATCTCAAAATCTGATGCACCTTCAAGTCTTCGATCATCGTGATCCGCGAAGCGTTATTTGTGTCGGATGGCACCAGCGTGTCCGCAACGATGATGTGCGTAGGCGAGTACTAGGCAGTGTTAATCATTCTAGCTCCCTAGAACAACAGATAGTACTAAATAAGTTGCGTTGGCTCGGGCACGTGCTACATATGCCTGGTCAGCACTTACCTAGGAATGCCTCATTCAGTCTACCAGATGTAGGGTAGGGTAGGGCTGGAGGAGGACGGAAGTTGACTTGGCAGCGGGAAATGAAGTCACTGACGACCAAACTGGGTGCCGTTGGTCCGTCTCGTCTTCCGGGCTGCTGTCCACGTGACTCGCCTTGTGGTTGGCTCGAGACTTTACAGAACATGGCTCGCAACCGACACAAGTGGCGCGTCTGCTGCCGTCTCCTAATCGGATTGCCAGTTTAAAGTGTGTTTGGTGCTGAATTATCGTCGGGGTAATGGCTGATTATGATGTGGGGCAGTAAAAACCGCAACGAAGTTGTCTAGCCGATGCGACCTTATCTTTGCGCGATAGCAAGCTGTTCTTGACGGTATGTTGTCTATAAAAGGTGTAGGCGCGTTGACCCTGAATGTTTGCTTAGGGGATTACGGTTTTCAGATAAGTCGCTCTTCTCTCCCTCTTATTATTCTTTATTTCTAGATCACTATGGTTGTATGGCAGTGAAGCATCAGTTCAAATGGCTGATGTACTGCTGTTGATGATGATGATAATGATTTCCTCCTCAAATTCTCGATTGACGAAGTTATAGAGATCACGTTCACAAGACACGTCTTCGAAGGTGTGGAGCTGCTCGCAGGCGAACGACTTCTTGACTTGGAGAATATAGACGATATTGCCCTTATCTGTGACAGCTTCTAGACGTGCCAAGGTACACTGGACAGATTAGCACTGGCTATCAGCCGCTTCGGGCTTTGCTTTGCACCCTCGAAGTGCAAAGTTTTCCTCCAAGGTTTGCAGGAATCGCCCGCGCTGACCCTTGGTGGGGTTCAGCTAGAAGTCGTTCAAAACTTCAACCACCTTGGAAGTTGTATCGGCGCCTTTGGGATCGAAGATGTGATCACGAACCGCATTGCAAATCTTTGAGGCGCTTTTGCTATCTTTTGCCACCTGTGGCGCGAGCACGACTTCCCTCTATCCCTGAAGGGTAGAGTATACAATCTAGCGGTACGCTCGACCATACTACACGGTTGTGAAACTTGGCCTCTTAGGCCGGCCGACACAAAGTGGTTCGACCACCGGTGCCTTCGCAACTTAGCTCACATCTGGTGGGAACACCGCGTGAGCAACGAGCGTGTTCGATGCCTTGTTTACGGCCCAGGAAAAGGAACTGAACTGCTCAGCACCGTTATTTTGCGCGTGCCAGCCCACCGGTTCCCGCGACGTGCGTCGTTTGCGCGCCGCGGATGTGGATGAAAGAATAGGAGAGTCGGCTAAGCAATGACTTGGTCGATAGGAATGGAGGCCCTCACTTCGAAGCTGTCCTCGGTTGGAACGTCTGGGCTCCTTAGTTGAGATCTGAAAGACGATGTACACCTTTGGCTGAATGCACTAGCTGACATGGCTAGGAGTGGATCTCATGGACGTTCGTATTGTGAGTTTCTTTGTCCCTACCCATCCCTCTTAGCCTCCCCCTCCAACCAAGATCTCATTCCTTAGCATAATATAATTTTGCATAATAACTTTTTTTGCTGCATAGTAGCCGGCTGGTCACTTTCCGGAACGATGGCCATCCGTTTTCGGCAACTCAGTTGGCATGCATCTGTCGCATCTTTTTTTCTTTTATGTATTGCGCCACAGTGGCTGAGGTATTTTCCATCCTTAGCTAACGTGTATAATCATGATGATGATAGACACTGCCGATGTTTAATTGTCCAACTTCGCTGAGTTGTTCAGTTGTTACCTTCCTTGTATGATATATGGCTCCACGCAGTTCTTCATACACGACCGACTGGATAATTTCCGAAGAGTATTATAAATTATCCAGGAATTAATGCCAGCCAAACCCAGCACCTTGAAGGATACTTGGACTGCTTCCGTCGAGATGACGACAGGGAGTGTTCTTGCCATTTGGTCGACTTCATCTACCCCATTCTTCGTGGAGTTGCAGAACAATACATACTCGGGCTTCTTCTTTCCTGAGTCTTTAATTGAAGAGTTACTGTGCAAAGAACTGAAACCCAAAACATTTTTATTCCTTTTACACTGGTAGGATATTACTGTGTGCTTATTTTTATTCTTCATATTAAGTGTACTGAACAGCTCTCTGCTTCTTTGCTTCAAAATCATTGATGCTTCCTTTCTATTAGCTCAACTGATACCCTTCTTGGTGATATTTTTCTTTGCGAATCTTTCTCCCAATGCTGCAGTTGTGAAGAAGTTGTCACATGTGACATTGTAACTCTTTCCCACTATGGGTGGCTGGACTCAATACCACACTCTCTGGAACAGTCTCATGGCCGAGATTCATTCTTACCGAGATGTGGAAATCCATTCACGAGATATTTGCTGTCCACTTTTGGTAAAATCCAGAACTTGATACCGAACTTATCAGGTTTGTCGGCCATGTACTGACGAAAACGACAGCTGGGTTTGGTGCAAAACAATAACTCGTCTACGGTGAGGTTCTTCGCAAGCACATAGCACTGTTTAAAGTTGCGAATAAATGTATTCCAAAGCAAACTTGTCAGTCTGCAGTCTTCCACTTCTGGCATTTGGCCTGCCAAAACAGAGGAACCTCATTATTTCTTTGAATCTGTTTTTGGCGATTGTCTCCCTGCAAACAGGCAATCCGTATTTATCACACCGCAGTGTATTACATGGCATGTCCTTCAGGCTCATAAATTCCCTGATGTAAATTAGCCCAATAAATACACGCCGCTCAGAAACACTTTTGCTCCAATGATAACTGACACCTTAAGCTCTCTTGGCGTCAGTTTCAGTACATATTTATATCTGTTTCAGCATCTGGGATGTGACTATGATGTCAAAAGCGCTCGAGAGCTTACCATATTTCTCGCATTTCTTAGCGTAGACAGTCGGACCTGGTCTAGCTTTGAAAACGTTCTGTGATGGCATCCTATCAACAGTAGTTGTCTGGAACTTCCTTGCGGTCCACCATGTACCATCTTTCGATATGTGATCTTCACCGGAACATGCAGAATCGGTTGCTACACTCTCATTACTGTCTTCATGATGTGTGTCACTGTCTGAACTTTGACTATCAGGGTTGCTGTGTTCTTCTGCCGGCTCCTGCTAGATGAAGTCTCCATCAACCTCATGTTCATTCTCATCATCGGACTCGTTATAATTGATAGCTATTATTCACAAAACCTCAAAAGCGATTTTTTTCCTACGAGCCATTGTGTATCATTGGTATTGAAATTTATCAGACCGACACACAATATTACTGAGAAATCGTGCATCTACCAGTTTTCACACCAATTTTTACTGCTATTGCATGTAAGTTTGTCAGAAATAGTGGTGGCGGTTGAAAATAAAAACAGAAACTGGCTTAAAAGAAAGTGGTCAATTTGTCCGCTAACGGGCTTTCTCGGTAGCACGAACACAACTACTTCTTTTCTCAAAAACTATAACAGTGAAAATGAAACTTCACGGTTATGAAAGAGGTCTAAAATATTAACAATCACGAAATATCTTTGAAAAATGTTTAAAAACGTAGTAACTATGCACATTCAGCAATGCTGAGCGGTCAGAGTGACCGCTCCAGGCGTTCAGTTTGGTGCCTACAGTCTTCGTGGATCGGGGCCTCGCAATGATCCATATCTATGCTTTTAAACTGGATCAGACATGGCACAGTCGCTCAGTCATTGGCGTTCCTTCAGTTTATCGCATCTGGTTGTTGATTCTCGTTTCATCTTGATTAGTCTGACGCCACTCCTTGATTTCATTTTCCTTACATTCTATCTGTATTTAGCCTCGCTTTCTTACTTCCGTTCTTTCTTGTTAATCTGGCAATTTGAGTCCATGGCGAGTGAATTTATCACACTTCGGTACTCGGATCATAGTTGTTCAACTGGGCGGAAACTGATACTGGGTCTAGTTATTTTTCTGGCCGTTTGAAGCAACTACTTGAAATCTGATGTGAAGATACTTGTTGAATTTGTTTTTAACGAAACATACTGTCTATTTGTGAACTCCATATCAATTTGTGCTCTCCTAATTCATGCCATAACTAGAGCTGCTTCCGAGGGCTTAGATTGTTCACCTAGTCTGGTTTTTGTTTTTCAGAACCGTGGTCGCCCGAGTTCACAGATGAGTGAACCTTTGAGTCTCTGCATTCTGAGACCGAAGCCTGAGCCTACAGAAATGCAATCGTCAATGGTATCTCCGGACGGGGAACGAATTGATACGCCTTTATGTCCTCCGGAAAAGGACTCAGGGGATTCCAGATCACTTGAAACTGGACAGTATGACTCTGTGAACCCATTGGAAGCACGTTGCGGATTGACGCTTGATGTGGTGCCGGTACCACTTCCCTTCCAACAAGGTATAAGTTTACAGTATACCCATGCACGCTTGTTTATGTGTCATTTAACGCTTGCGAATTTACCTGACCATTTACAGATTGCTAATTTGAATTAATGTAGACAACAAAGCGGAATGAAAACGCTGTGCTGTTGGACAGGCCTAGTTTCCCAACATCCCCATCATTGAATACCATGTGTTCGGGTACTTTACGAGCCACGAATGCATCATATATACATAGTATGCCTAAACACTGAAGTGGAAGTCGATGTCAGAAAGGGAGTTAAGTGGAACACAGCTTATTATTATGTACCTGAGTGACGCAATGGAATGTAACTGTGGGTACAGCGAGCAGTCGCAAAAGTCGGCACCCCAATTCACTGAGTAGATAAACTTCGAACAGAAGCAACTGAGCATAAATAAATATAAACTTGACAGCCGATTCACGGCTTGTCAAAACACTTGGTGTGTTGTACCGAACACTTTGCAAAGCAGTTTAACCAGTCTGAGTTATCACTTTCTTTCTCGGCCATTGAGTGCCCTTCTCCCTGATCCGTCTCCTTGGATCCGTCCTCACGCGCAGAAGTCGAATGTGAAGTCAGATTGTTGAAATTGCGTAAGGCCGCAGGGGCAGATAGAATTCCCCCAGCCCTTTTCAACTTCCGGGGACTTGCTCTAATAAAGGATTTACACGAGTCGCTAGTGAAAATTTGAGAGCAGGAAACTGTCCCGACATACTGGATGCGCTCCATCATGGTCCCAATATTCGTGAGACGCTCCCGTTCGGAATGCGGCAATCATAGATGTATCAGTCTGATCTGAACCAGGTGATTAGTAGAAGGCTTTCAGCTCCGCGGATCATAAACATCAACAACAGCAGTACATCAGCCATTTGAACTGATGCTTCACTGCCATACAACCATAGTGATCTAGAAATAAAGAATAATATGAGGGAGAGAAGAGCGACTTATCTGAAAACCGTAATGCCCCAAGCAAACATTCAGGGTCAACGCGCCTTCACCTTTTATAGACAACACACCGTCACAAACAGCTGGCTATCGCGCAAAGATAAAGTGGCATCGGCTAGACAACTTCGTTGCGGTTTTTACTGCCCCACATCATAACCAGCCATTACCCCGACGATAATTCAGCACCAAACACACTTTAAACTGGCAATCCGATTAGGAGACGGCAGCAGACGCGCCACTTGTGTCGGTTGCGAGCCATGTTCTGTAAAGTCTCGAGCCAACCACAAGGCGAGTCACGTGGACAGCAGCCCGGAAGACGAGACGGACCAACGGCACCCAGTTTGGTCGTCAGTGACTTCATTTCCCGCTGCCAAGTCAACTTCCGTCCTCCTCCAGCCCTACCCTACCCTACATCTGGTAGACTGAATGAGGCATTCCTAGGTAAGTGCTGACCAGGCATATGTAGCACGTGCCCGAGCCAACGCAACTTATTTAGTACTATCTGTTGTTCTAGGGAGCTAGAATGATTAACACTGCCTAGTACTCGCCTACGCACATCATCGTTGCGGACACGCTGGTGCCATCCGACACAAATAACGCTTCGCGGATCACGATGATCGAAGACTTGAAGGTGCATCAGATTTTGAGATTAAGTAGGCCCAGTCTCACTACCATAGAACAGAACGGCCATCACTGTGGCTTTGTATACACGACCATTCAGAGGGAGGGAAATTTCCCTCTGTCACCAAAGATGCCACAGGTTCAATTAGGCAGCTCTGGTCTTTGTAGTGCGTGAGCTGACGTCAGTTTCTATGTACGCATGGATACTGATGCATCTGCCAAGATAGGTGAATTGATCAACCACTTCGAGTTCCTCGTTAGCAAGGGTCAAAAGCTCATGAAATGGCAAGTGGTCCTGCAGGAACACTTTGCACTTTGAAGTTGCGAAGCGCGTACCTAATAATGGGACCACTCTGTACAGGCAATTTAAGGTTGATCGTTTGGCCGCAACATGGTCGAAAAGCAAGACGATATCGTCCGCATTATCAAGACCAACTAGTCTTTCAACAGGCAACACTTCAGCGCCTACATCATGAGATTCCGCAGAGGAACACTCCATGATAGAATCCACGACGAAAGTGAAGATAAATTGGCAAATCGGACAACCGGGACGAACGCTACTTGTGGTTGGAAAGCTATCCGATAGCCCACCGTAGATTCTTAGCTATTGTTTCACTAACAGGGCTTCGTCGCACCCTTGCTCCCGATAAGCTGGAACAGCACTTGGCTGTTCCCAAAGGCACCGGCTTTCTCCGTATCATATGGCCTGGCTACCCACTGACGCTCTCAGTAGACTCGAAGACTCCTTTGCAGACGTCGTTACATTTCTTAGTGGACACGATGAAATTCACTGCATATTGGCATCTGTTCCCGTGCATCGATCGAACTGACCGATGCCTCAGAGATGCATCCATAGTTAGGACGCCTCAACTTAGATGCACAGCAGGCGTCAAATGCATTCATCATGGCACGGTTGAGACGATCACAGTAAACGTTCGACTCACCAACCTCATTCGTTATTGATAATTTGTGAACCAGTGATTCATGATATTGTCGAACTTCAGACAGCAAGCTCAGGTTACAGGTAAGAAAGAAGTTGGGCGCTTCTTTGGAGTGGGTATAGTTGGCGCCAGACGTGCGTGCACTAGAGCAGGGTCGGAATCTGGGCACCTTCTCCACGTTGTCATGCCGTCTTGGGCTGATGTGTACCATACATAGCTTATGGTCGCATAATGCATTTCCGACTAGGTAATTTAAGACTATGTGGGGCGTCAGTGACACGGGGAGCGGTACTGCTACCATACGAATTATGTTCGGCACATAATTGCAGGAATCTATTGCTACTGTCTATTTGGCGTTCGTCGACCCCTAAGCGGCCTCTTAGATGTTGTCTTGGGTCTGCTTGGCAACAACGTGTACGTTCACCGTTGGTCACTTTGACTGACGAGTTCACCTTCGCCTATTTGAAGTTTACCCATTTCTATGTCCCAGTCCTCAGCTGCTCCCTCGGCTTGGTCTCACTCACTAAAGTTTGCGGTGTACAAAGAATTGTCGGTGTTTGGTGGTGGTACCGCTTTGTCCGGAGTCATGAGGTGCACGGATCCTGACTACATTGCGTTGATCCAATTACTTCGTAGATCAAAAAATTGGGAATATTACGTTCCGATGGTATTTGTATTTGTTCGTGACACTCGGGAACATGCGACTGAGGAAATATGTAACTATTCGATGATTTATTGCCTTGTTGAATGCAGTACTTTTATTCTAAGGTTGCTTTCTGTTTCAGATGACAGACCGAATGTCTGCTACCTCTGTGGTACTTCATTTACTCGAGCTGCTACTCTACGAAGACATCTTCGTTTTCTTCATTCGAGTAAGTTTCGAGTTGCCTATTGGGTTTAACTGTGTTGTTATTTTTTTCGGGTTCCTCATGCTGAGATAGTCCTTGAGTACCTCATGTTTTTTTTACTTCAGCTAGGCCACGCCGACTTACATTTTAACTAGAACTTCTTAATCTAGATAAAAAGTATTCCACACCCTTTTATCACTTGTTTCTGTTATTCAGCTCCATGTGATGTGTCAATATTGCACGTTCATTTTCCTACAAATTTTGTGTTCGCTTTTTATATCCGAGGTGTGGATGCGTTTGATGTGAATGTTGACAAGTTACCTACGTGTCTAACACTCTCCACCTTGACTGATAGCCCCAGGAGTCAGCTAATCGTTGCTGGGGCGGTCTTGAGGCACGGTCTTCGTGGCCTTGCTACGCTCAAAGCGTGGTTCCACCCAGTTTGGAGAGGACCAGGGTGCAGTAACCGTCTTGTTTACGTGTAGTACGCTTGATTCTCCAGAGCGTTGCTGTTATTGATTCTCTTATAAGTTGGGGCACACACCTTAACTCTAATGTTATCGTCCATTACACTTGCTCATCAATTATTCACCACGGCTGCACTGTCTACCAAACATCGCACTTTATGCTAATCACTAGTTGGGCACTTCTTTCTTGAGGAATTCGTCAATTTCACTCGTCATGTTCATCTGCCGTCTTATTCGCTTATATGTACTGGTATCCCATCTATCTGCGATACCTAAAGTTATGTGGAATATGGCAGGTATCTGTAACATCGCATGACAAAATTCGAGGTGCTTTTGCCAATCTCCGCCAACTGTTTCGCCCTTGCCACATCCCTGTCTTCCCTGAAGGGCAGAGTTAACAACGCAGCCGTGCTTTCAACCCTCTTGTACGGTTGTGAAATCCGGCCCATCAGATCGACATAGCTAGACAAGTCACCTTCGATCATCACTGTCTTCGCAGCTTAACTTATGTCTGGTTGGAGCACCGCGTGTGCATTGCGTGTGTTCGGCTTCCCGTATTTGGTGCAGGTAGATCGAGTGAACCACTCAGCACCGCTATGTCACGCATTCGACTCCGATGGCTGCGCTACATGTTGCTGATGCTATCACACCGACTTCTGCGCCGTTCGTTATTTGCGCACCGGGACTGTAGATGGAAGAAGACGATAGGAGACCCGGCGATAACATGATCTAGGGGAATGAAAGCCATGTCTTCGAACTTGGCGTCGGTTGGTGTCTGGACTGCCCGAATGCGTACCGAAGGACTATGAGCACGTCAGATTTAACACACTAGTTGATAAAACCAGGAAAATACGTCAGTGACGGTTGTTGTGCTTCTCTTCTTTCTCCCTATACCGCGGATTCTTCCCATCTAAAAACCATTTCTCTATCCTGACGCATAATATTTTACTATAACGTTTAAGTGTTTGCTTTTTCGTATCTCACCTTTATTTATTTCGGCACAATAGTTGAAGTCTGTTTCTCACCTTCAGCTAATGTGCAGTGTTGCTAATGATGTTCGACTTACCGGCGTTCATGCCATCACAAACTAATCACTGGAACTCTTCGATACACCCACTTATCAATGTACTTGTATCACTTATCAAACTTGTATGTCTGAGAAGGTTGCTTCTCTTATCTGCACGGCTCTTGGATCATCTTAAAATTTATATTCCCTCTGGAGGTTTTGGGACAGGCTGCCAATGAAAGGTGGGTCACTCTGCTCCAAAAAAAATAGCAGAGGCGCGCTCACCTCACGCTGGAGACACTATGCGATTGGTCATTATCAGTTACCGGTGTCTTCTGAGTGTTGCTTCTCTGGTGAGGGCTGCGGGTGAATTTGCTTACTGGCGCCCTATTGGAGTGTCTACTTAACTTGAACCGTTTGCGTGAGATTGATCATACCCTCCTTTAGTTCATTGTCCGCCTTTCTCAACTTGCGTTATGTGCTGTCTCCGCATGTAATTGATCGGAATCGCTAGGTGACCAGTCAATGTCGCAGAAAAGTATGCAGTCGTTGCGTTCGACACTTGAGTAGACGTGTAGATGGGGACGTTGGGATTGACCGGCTCACTGACTGGATTTCTTATCCGACACGATACTATTGTGGGCTAGGTGGTTTTCGTGCATCCTGCTTATTTTGCATCCGTTTTATTATTGCATCTGATATTCTTACGGCCACCGACTGAGCCCATCTAATTGGCGTAATGCGCCTGATTTTCAAGCACTCAATCATTCATATCAGTCTAGGTCACCCACGCCGCCTCGAGGAACCAATTTGGGTTAGGCGGCAGGTAAATTGAATGGGTAACTGTCATCTCTAACTCATGTTAATTATGCGGAAAATGTGGCGTATTGTTGCTGTCGTTGGGCTATGCGTATACCTGTGTTATATACTTCACCTTCTTTTTGTGTAGTTTCGTCGCAGTTAGACACAGACAGACAGCCACCACATATCCAGGAAAGCTCTAGACGGTTGTTTCGTCCTATTGGGACTCGTCAGTAACGCGCACCCTGAGGGGCTCTGGGTGCCAGCCCTGTTCTCTGCACATTCACAACATGCAAGACAGTGGAGCATGAGCCGCGCCATATCACAGTTAGATACCAGTCATGGCGGTCCGCTGCCGTCGCCCATGGCTCAGTGACGTAACTCGCTGACTCGCAAGAGTAAGGTCATGCTTTCGTATCCGGTAGGATTCGGCGGATGCGCGCTACTGACGAGTCCCAGTAGGACGAAACGGCCGTCTGGCGCTTTCCTGGATGCGTGGTGGCTGTCTGTCTGTGTCTAACTACGACGAACCTACGCAAAAACTTAATAAATCCCCCTACTACTTACAAACTTCACCTTCTTATTAACTGACATCCAAAGTCTGGCTGCACTTGGTGCGAATATTGGTAAGGCGCATATCCGCCGAAAATTTCCACGTTTATTACCACAACCACACCATGACAGAGTTCTATCTTGAACCAAGTAAAGGCTGCCTGCTGAACCGGACTTTCTCCGGAGCTGTCCAAACATCTCAATGGGAATGGTCACTCGTATCTAAACTTTGCTTTTCAAAGGCTTATAAAGTGAAAATCTGTTCCACACACATCAATCTAGCCACGTTTCACAATTCCCAGTTGTATTTTATTTGACATATTAAAGATGATGACATTTTTAGGTCGACTTATCCCTTCAGGTATTTATCTGGTGAGCGACTTATGCATCGATGCTGCTAGGTTTAACAGGCACACACACTGGTATGATAGTGATGCCAGTTTCTCAAGCAACTGACGGATTCCTTTGAATTTTCCGTTTTGTATAGTCATCTCCTTTTCGAGGTTGTGAATTTTGATGGCCACCTCAGGCATACTATTTGGCAATGAAACGCTGCTCCTAGTTTCGGCAGCTCGTCAGCCGAACCCTGCCGCTTTCCATGCAGTCCACTGTAACCAACTTCACATTTTTTTCCAGGAGCATTTAAACCTTATTGAGTATGGAGCATAGCAATTCTCGGCTTACTGCCGGCTACCTGATGCTTGTTGACAGTTGTTTTCTTGGATACGGATTGTTCTCGTGATTGCTTAAAGTAGGAAACCAGATGACAAAACCTTGGAATATGTAGGGAAATCGAATCCTAGAGATGGAACCAACTGCGAAGTTGACGGCCAAGGAAATACCCAGATGAAGAATTATCAAAAGGGATATGATTCAACAGATTGAATCCTGATTCGTACTACGGGCGCCGAAACTCACGGCTTTCGATTTCACATCTTTCCATTTTGTTATGTGGCGGCATGTGGACGCTTTTGGAGAGAAACCATATGTACTATTGTAATAATCGAGGGAAACTAAAAGGGGTATACAGTGCTCCGCTGAAGTAAAGCAAAGAACAGTGATTTTATTTATTGGTGAATCACATCCGTCACGCAACCGTATTTTTAAACGAACATATCTGTTTTTCTCCATAAAGTACGATTGACTGGCCAAAGACCTCCGCGTCCTGGAACACTGCCACCGAGCCATTCGTCGGAACGGAATACTACCGATTCATCCAGCTGGCAACACGGTTAAGTTGTTCGGCAAGCCAACCAAGATGCAGGATTGTCTCATTAGAATCCCGATTATCCAATATACCATGATTTAACATCCGAGGAGTGATGCTTTTTTGACTAGTTCTGACAATTTGGACGCTTTACGTTTACGATTGGAGCTGGCATTGAATGTGCCGCTTCATGTGCGCTGCAGTCCCCATGGCCATCAGAAATCTAAACTGACTCTGTTAGCGTCTACCGACTCTGAAGTTGGCAAATTTCGAATCGGTTTTACTGAAGGTGTTTTAATTGTTACCGATGTAGGCCTTCTCTATTATCCATCGCCGTCTCCAGCCATCTGTGCACACTTCTGACATTCGTTTCTAGTACCATGTTCGCGTTGTTTTGCTTTTGTTTTCTGCGTACAGTTGATCTCAATGTACTGAGGTGGAAGATAGACGGAAGCCGTATGTAAGACAGTTACTTGAGGCAGTTGATGCGCGTGCTGCAGATATTTGGTTATTTTCTTACATCATAGCTTTTCCTGCTTCATTTGAGGCCTTTTTGCACGAGGTACGGTGGAACTGCTTGTTTCTTACTCTCCATGAATTAGTCAGCCTTGAAACCTAAACGCGGGTATATGTTCAGTGACCCGTTCTTAATTACACCATGAGTTTACTTTTTCGATTTGTTCTGCTTTCTGTTTCAGATCAACGAACCCACACGTGTAAGTACTGCATGCAGTCTTTTTCCGAAAAGTTTCCTCTCCAAGTTCACGTAGCCTCCGTCCACTTGAGTAAGTACTTCCCGGAATGAGTTGTTGCACTCTGCTTTCTATGCTGTTTATGACAAAATAACAGTGTCTAATTTTGACATGTAGCAAGCTGCTGCACATTGGTTTGAAAATATTACGTTTGAATGCGGTTAATGCAAATATGCCCATCGACGTCAAATTGGCATTCGATTTTTTGCGGTTTGTTTCTATTTGACTGTTTTCTTGGTGCCGGTGCGTTACTGCTTGAGGAATTTGTTTCTCTCGGTGAATGTGGCGCAAAGTCAGCATGTTTAGCAACGACGCTTAGCTTGATGGGTTAACCACTAACTTATGTCGTGGTGGTGTTCTCACACTGTTTTCCAATCTCGTACCTTGGCTTTACTTTGAATAGTTTTACGAACTCGGTTTTCACAATCACGGCCGCTTTGCCTGGCAACTTCTCCGTGGTGCCAACTGAGTGGTTCGGGATTATCCCGTCCTCGCAAATGATTCGGCAGCAGTATTTTAGGACGTGATGGATTTTCGCCTGTAAAGCGTTCTCATAAAAGGCCACATATGTCTGTTAAACAACTCTGACGTGGCAGATGTGCCTCGTCACTAACTACAGTCACCGCCCCTTGTCTCTCCCAGAGATGTATTTCAATTCAAGGTATTGTTGGCCCCTGGTCTGTTGCAGGATCTACAGGCGTATACACCACTTGTTTGGTCACCGGCTCCCAACGGGTTGCGACGCCCTCACATCGCCCTGCTGCTTTGTACGTTAGATCCCTGATTAAACGCTCAGAGTAGGGATTTCCAAGGCAGCCCATCACTCTCGAACTGCTCTCCTCGGCCGAGGTGATGGCGGCTGAACCTGCCAAACCACGTTTTATCGAACCATGTTTAATCACTTTATGCCACCTTTGTTAAACCCCCCATTCTTGGTCTTCCCCTTCCGTTTTAGACTTCTTAACACCGTGCCGCCTTGGGCAATAGTTCTCGCCACAAGGATCAGGAGCATAGTTCAGAGAGTGCACCAAGTCGTGTTGATAAGCCATTTCTAGCGGCAGGTTCCCAACTCAAGCTGTCAACCTTCAATGTTCGGACGCTGATGCAGATTGGATCACAGGCAGCCCTTGTTCACACTCTAGGAACTACGGCCATTGATGTCTGCTGTCTCGGTGAGATCCGTTTGCAGGACTCTAGCACGACTGGATCCATGTCAACAGTCGACTATATGCGATCCGACTCGAAACTTCAGTGCGATTGTCTAGGCGCGAAGCCAGCAGGCGTTGCTTATTCCGTGTCTGAGCGTACGCTCCCACGGACTGCAACCTGGAGTCAGTTAATGATGACTTCTGTGCTCAACTGACCGACCTCCGTAAAAAGCGCCGCACAGAAGTCGTGTTGCTTGCCGGGTAATTGAACGCGCAAGTCGGTAGACTTGAAGTTGACGAATGTGAACTCGGTGCTCAACACGGTCATGGTGCTCGCAGAAGGGACAACGATCATAATCTACTTCAGTTTCGTGCCTTTCACGGCCCATTTCTGTCGAGCACTAGCTTTCGTGAATCCTGGCGCCAACGCGCCACCTGGAGGCCCCTGTCACCTGACCAGCGGTGGACACAAATCGACCACCTCGCCACTAGCTATCGATGGCGCGGCTGCATACAGGATTACAATTCGATCTCGAGTACCAATCACACTTCGGATCGTGCGCCTTCGTGTGCCGAGATCGCTCTACGTTTTGGTGGCTCCTAGAAGCGTCGCCATAAGCGGTTTGACGTAGCCAAACTTTTTGTCCCAAACATTATGCGCGCATTACATGATGAAGGTCAGGGCAGTATCGACCACGTCTTCCCCATGCGTCAATTGTTGAAGCACCGCCATGTGTATTGGCGACCCACTGTTGTCGTGTTTCTCTACCTCAAATGTACCTTCGATTCAGTCAATCGATGTGCCCTTTGCAACTGTGCTGAAAAAAGCTGTGCCTGATAAATACTTAAACATTATCAATGCGATGTATGCGCATACTTCGGGTAAACTTAGGATTTATGGCAAGCTGTCGCAGCTTTTCAATTTCTCTAGCGGTGTGAGACCAAGCTGTCCGTTATCACCTTTCCTCTTCAACTTCGCTATTGATGAAGTCATGGAAACAGCATTCGCTGAACACGACCTAGGTATGAAGCTACTTCCTGGTAAGCGACTTCTTGACTTGCAATATGCGGAAAACATTGTCCTTATCTGTGACAGCTCCCAAACGTGCCAAGCTGCACTGGACAGATTAGCATTGACTGTCAATTATTTTGGTCTTTGCTTTTCTCCATCGAAATGCAAAGTACTTCTCCAAGATTGATAGAGACCCACCCCTGCGCTAAAGCTTGGTGGTGATCAGCTCGAAGTCGTTCATAAATTCAAGTACCTGGGCAGCTATATTAGCGCTCGTTGGATCTAAGATGAGGGTTTGAACCGAGGTGCTTTTGCCAATCTCCGCCACCCGTGGCGAAGGCACGACATCACTCTCGCTCTGAAGGGCAGAGTTTATAATGCAGCTGTCCGTTCAACCTTCCAGTACGGTCGGGAAATCTGGCCCATCAGATCGACAGACGTAAAAGGCTGGTCACGTTCGATCATCGCTGCCTTCGCAGCTTAGCTCATGTGTTGTGGGGGCACCGCGTGAGCAATAAGCGTGTTCGGCGTCTTGTATTTGGTGCAGAAAGAGCGAATGAACCGCTCAACACCATTATATCACGCACCAGGCTCCGATGGTTGGGCCACATGTTGCGCTTTCTAGCACACCAACTCCCGCCATGTGCATTGTTTGCGCGCCTAGTGTGTGATTAGAAGAGGAGGAGGGGAGGTCATGTAATGACTTGTTCGAGCTAAATGAAAACCCTCATTTCGAAGTTGGCGTCGGTTGGTGCATCCTAACTGCCTGGCTTTGGTCCGAAGGGCGATTAACACGTTTGATTGGATACACTTGTTGATATGGTGAAGAGTCGGCCCCAATAGCGTTTGTGTTGTGACTTTCTTTGTCGATCCCCTCCAATTCTATTCTCCTACACAACACAATGTAATATTTAACATCATATTACTTGCTTGTAATCTTTTTGTAGTATAATTCTTTTTGTATATCATTTTGCATTGCGGCATATTAGTTGAGATGTGTTTCTCACCCTTAGCTAACGTGTACTGCTGAGGATGATAATCTGGTGTGTAGACATTGCACCACCATCTGTGACTAAGGTTGCCGATCAGCTTCGCCTCTTAGAGCGCTACAAAGACCCTCGCACAAAAAATACTTTCTCGGGCTCTTTTCAAAGTAAAATGTTCATCATTTGTTCAAGAGTTATTTTCTCTCTCCAATCAATCTGGGTCACTAAATTTCTCCCATCTGTTTGGAGCCTAGCGGATATCGTACCCGTCTTCAATACGGTAACCGTACTGACTGCGCCAACCACAGTGGGATTTGTCTCTTCTGTGTTGCTTCCAAAATGTTCGCCTCTGCTTTAAGGGAGGCTCAGCCTTGTATGCGAACAGAGCATACGTGCAGAGCAATCTGGATTCCGGCCAGGTCGGAGTTGCATCGATCACATCTTTACAGTTCGCATCGTCAAACATTTGGCCGGCTAATGATCGTTGTCTTCCTAGACATTGGATCCGCTTTTGACTCAGTTTCTCGAACTGACTTCTGGAGTTGTTTACTGATAAGGGGAGTGCCCGAGGAGTATGTCATCTTACTTCAAGCAATCTACTCTCAAACCTCTAACCGATTGCGGGTGTACGGCGGACTTTCGTCCCCTAGTATACCAGCAGTGGGACGAGACGGGGTTTCCCAGCATCCTCCTTGTTCAATTTCGCTATGGACCAAATCCTGGAGAGATTCTCTTTAGAACTGCGAACCCAGAGGCGTCGAGCTGCTTCTGGGAATCAACTTCGGGATTTGGAGTACGCAGAAGACATCGCCGTTATCTTCGATTCCTCACAGGCCGCTCAAAATGTGCTGTGTAGGTTAGAGGTATCTGTCTCCCTCTTTGGAATGACCTTCGCACCATCGAACTTCATGGTCTTCCTGCAGGACTAGCTAAGTGCTGCTCCTATCCTTATCCATTCACGTCATTCATTGGAACTGGTAGACAAATTCGTTTACCTCGGAAGCTGCCTTAGCACTAATAGTTTAACAGATGAGGTCTGTTTGCACGTCTTCAAGGCTCAGTTTGCTTTTGCCAATCTCCACCATCTCTGGCGTCGGGGCGGTCTGAGTCTATCACTAAAGGGCCTAGTTTACAATATCACAGTGTGAGCAGTTCTGCTCTATGGCTGCGAGACTTGACCTGTTCGCACGAAGGATTTTGAGATGCTGTCTCTTTTGGATCGCCGCTGCCTTCAGAGCATTGCTGGTGTACGATGGCAACATCACTCTTGTAATGAGGATGTTAGACGGAGGATTTTCAGGTCTGACAGACTTTGCCGGCCACTGAACCGCATGATTTCTCTGCGCATACTCCAGCGGCTTTGACATGTTCTTCGCATGCCTGCTCATCGTTTATCTCGTCGTACCCACTTCGCGCACGCGGAATTTGTTTGGAAGCGTAAGAAAGGTGGCCAACGTATTACTTGGGCCAGGAGCATAAAGGAGCTAAGGTGAAACTTAGCCGTGGTGCGGCGCTGTCGGCTCCCTAGCCGGGGTGTGAAGGATCATTAACACGCAAGACTGAAAACACTTTCGGATATGACAAGAACCCATGTGCAATGGTGGACACGTTTTAACTCTCTAGTCCCATGCTCACTGGGTTTTCCCCTGCGCCTTCGTTTATTTCTTATATTTCCCATACGTTCTGGAACTATACCGATTGTATTATTGGCCGTGTCTAATATACCCATGATATTGCGTACATGATGCTTCTTCATTGCAGTTGGGCTAAACCAACTTACACTTAAACTAGGTCTTTTTAATGTGAATAAAATTCATTCCACTTTATTTGATTTGTTCTGCCTACATGATAATCTTCTCCTAACTTATACACGTCTCTCATGCTAAT